AAGGCAGCTCGGGGAAGGAGCCCTTGCCCTACTACTGTGAGGCCTTCATGTGGGCCACCAAACTATCTCCTGGAATGGAAGGTAAAAAAGAGTTTTATTGGTAAAAAAAAAAAAAAAAAAGCAACTACTCTCTTACTAAAAGGATATGAGGGAGGGGGGAGAAAAGAAGAGGGTGGGTGTACATATTCCCTTTTCAGGAACCCACCACACTCACCCATTCCCGCTGGGGGCCACTCCTCACATACCTGATGGCCGGCTCCCTGCCCCCACCCCAAGTTTTCTGGAAAGGAGAGCATCAGGCTGACACATCAGGGTCTCCGGTTCTCAGAGCTCTCATAGAAGGAAACACGCCCGGGCAGGAGGCTGAGAATAGCAGAAGCCCATTCCAATCGGAGGTGGACTCTTGGCCCCACCTCTCCCTCCCAGTTATACCAGTGCACCTGCTCCCAGCCCAGGCTGGGGCTGCGGACCCTAAGAAGACAAGCAAGCTTCGTGGTACTGGGTGATGGTGCCTTCAGCCCTGCGGGGGTAGGGGCCGGGATCACCTCTATACATAATTGAAGAAGCAGTTGAGGCCCAGAGAGGGGCAGTTACTTGCCCAAGGTCACACAGCGAGGCCAAGGATGCATCCAGACCCCCCGCCTCCCAACTCCGGGCCCTACGCCCGTGTGCGGAGCTCTCGAACCTTCAAAGTGCAGACACTCCCACCCCCCAACCCGCACACACGCCACCAACCCCCCTTACCTCTGGGAACCCAGTGGCCTCTGCCTGAAACCCGGGTCCTGGGCAGGGCGCTCAGGCAGGGCAGGACTAGGCTAGGACAGGCTAGGTCAAGGTGGTTCCTCTGCTCCCCACGGAGTGAGGACGCCCTCCGCCAGGTCCCAGACAACAGGGATGCTCCTACCACTGCAAGGTTCAACCTCCCCACCCGTCTTTGCACAATCCTGTACCCAGAAAGCCTGATTCAGAGGCGCAGCCGCTGGGCTGCGGGACGAAGCAGGGGGAGGGGCGAGGTGCGGGTAACAGGGCGGAGCCCGAGCGGGGGCCACCGGGTGAACCGCCACTCAGGCCGCGTCCACTTTAAGGCCAGCCGGCCTGAGCGCTGGCGGGGGCGGGGCAGGGAGCTGGACGGCTCACCGCAGTACCTCCTGGGAAATGGAGTTCGCGCTCAGCGCACCTAGCCACAAAGAGCCCAAAGAGAACTACAAGTCCGGGAGCGCAGCGCGCGGGGCCCGGGCCGTCACGCCCCTGGGCTGGGCTCCAGCCCTCCTCCCGCCTTGCAAAGCTGCGCTGGCCGCCCGCGGAGGGGAGGCTGCAGAGCGAGGGCAGGAGGTGGGTGCGGCGCGGCCGGGGTCTCGGGACTCTGGGACAACCGGTGAGGGGGCGTGGGCCCGCCCGGGCACCTCTCCTACCATGAGAGGTCACCTAGCCTACCCTAGCCTCGCCATTCTCATCTGTGCGATGGGGATGGTAACGCCTGTGGCTGCAAGGGAGGGGCGCATATCGAGGAGAGGGGGCGGAGCTGGTGGAAGGAGCCAGGATGGATGGTGATAGTCGGAAAAGCCCGGATAATGAGGGTCGAGACTGTTGGAAGGAGTCTTTGGTAGGTGGGGCAAGGAGGGGCGGAGTCTCTAGGTGAGTAGGAGAACATACTTGAGGTGGGAGGGGAGCTCCAGGGCTGGGGAGTGGGTGCTGAGAAAGCTGAGGCAAGCCCGGATTGGATTGGGTGGAATGGTTGGAAAAGCACTGGGGAAGGACGGGCGGAGACACAAAGACGAAAAGGACGCCTCCCGGCCCTGGAAAGCCCAGTGTCGGCATCACTGATATAGTTTGGGCAAGAGGGTGCTCCAGTGGGCAAATTCCTGTGGATGCACAGAACACTTTCCTTTCCTTGTGACTAGAAATAAAGAGCCCAACCCTTGAACTCAGTGCGTCACATACATGATCTCATTCAACTCCTACATCCTGTAAAGTCGTCACCCTATCTGTTTACAGGTGAGGAACATGAGGCTCAGAGAAGTGAAGTGACTTGTCCCAAACCACCCAGAACTCCGTGGTCCAAAAACCCTGATATTTTTCCTGCACTGCATGGAGATAGAGATTTAGTCTGAAGTGGGTGGCAGGGAAGAAAAAAGTTGATGTCCTGCCCTTCGTAGGTTGTGACAGGACCAGCTTCCTCAAGCCTTCTGAAAGCCAATCTGTAAGGCAACCCTCCTATGGTTATTGTGAGGATGAAATAATAGATGAACTTAAAAGCCCTTTGTTTATAAATTGTTAGGAGCAGGAAAACCATTAGGAAGAGAGTGGTTGAAATGGGGTGCTTGTGCCTGAGAGTGAGCTGAGAGGATGAAGGAAAATTCTGGAACAGGATGGGGGGGATGGTGATGATTGTTGAGAATCTGTAACAGGTGAGAGAATATTTTGCTGTGCAAATGGGGAAGTCAGGTTGCCAGGTCAGGTGGCTTCCCTCCTCCAGCCCCTTATCACATGGGCTACTGGGCAGCTCATTCTAGGGTCAATGTGTGTCACCAGACTCTAGATAACACCTTTTCCCTGCTACCTTGTGGGTTGTGAGGATAATAAAACAGCCTGTAGGCTTCTTAGATACGAACTGAGCAAAACGGCTAAAGATACAGCTATTGGTATAGGGAGTCTAGAAAGGGGAGGTGAAGAACAGTGCCCCCATACAGTCCCCAGGGCTGTGAGCCAGTCCTGGTGGACTAAGATGGGGAAGATGCATTTGATTTACTGGGAAACACATAACTCACTCTAGCATTGTCATTCTTGAAATGTACCCAACAATGTTCTATCTCCTACATTTACTTCCAGGTGGTCACCTGGGCCTTGCCCTGAGCCTTAGATTACAAAGTGAAAATTCAGGACAGGGTGGTAAACCTCCCTATTGGTAGATGACAGTCAATCTGGAGTGAGGAAAATGAATCTGAGTAAACATGGGAAGAAATTTCTTCCCCTTCCCCTATTCTGCCTGTTTCTGGGATACAGAGAGGGGAGATCCCAGCCCCAAGAGGTGGCCAGGCACCCACCTAGTAAAGTGGGCCTTGGTAAGGGGTGAGAATAAAACACTGGAGATACAGAGGAAGAAGGAATAAATTCCAGCTTAGGGGCCTGGAAGATGAATGGAATTTGCCTTCACAGTGCAGGCAGAGGGAATGGCACATGCCAAATTGTAGACATAGGAGAGGGCCTGGCATGAAAGAATGGATAATAATAGTACAGACATTCCTCAGAGATATTGCAGGTAGAGGGTCCTGCCTTCCACGTGTGAAATACCGCAACACCTGTGAAGTGCAATAAAACGAGGTATGCCTCATCTACTTCATCTATGAGATCAACATGCATAAAGTGCCTAGCACAGTAGTAACTGCTAAATAAATGTCAGCCATCATTATTATTGCTGCTATTATGATGATGACATCATCTATCCAGGAATTGGCCTAGCCCACACAGCTAGTTAAGTGGCGGCCAGGTGATGTCAAAGCCCATGCATTTTACTCTCCCCCACAAGGCCCCTCCAGTTATGTGTCCATAACATTCATGAGGCCCAGAAGTAGCCCCCACTTGTGAACATTCTCTGTGAGCTATGACAGAGACTGGGCTCAGGAGGTAGAGAAAACAAGGCCTGAACAGCCATCTTCTCCCAGCCTGAATCCCAACAGAGAGGCAGGCAGGCAGGCCTACTGTTGTGGTTTCTGTGGGTAGTAGGTCAATGTTGAGACACTCAGGTTTAAATTCTAACTCTACCAACTGTAGGCTATTTTAGCTCAACCTTGGTTGGCTTCCTCATCCTCCAAGGCACAACGACACCTAGAGAGGAAAATGAGATTTCAACGCTTCTTAGTAGTAATAAAAAATCTCCTATTTATTAGGGTCAGACACTCTGACTGGAAATTTACATATATAGTTCTGTGAGGGGAGTGTTCTTTTCTTGCCCCTTCTTCCAAAATAAAAATATTTTTACAATTTTCAAGCCTACAGAAAAGTTTAAATAATAGCCTTTGACCTAGATATACCAACTCACTTTCACGATTTTGCTTTCACAAATTTTTTTGCCAAACTATTTAAAAGTTACATTTTGACCCTTGACCTCTGAATTCTTCAGCATGTATCTCCTAATTATAATCCTACATAACCATGATACTATTATTAGACATAAGAAAATTAGCAAGAAGTCAGTATTAATACAATTGATATTCAAATTTCTCCAACTGCCAAAAAAAATGTAGCATTTTAAATCAGAAGCAGTCAAGATTCATGCATTGCATTTAGTTACATCTTTAAGCAACCATTTGATCTACACAGAGCCCTTCCACCTATTTAAATTTGATTATTTTATCAGTGATCAGGTTTTAATGTTGTATACAGTACTTACTGCATCACATTAGAAGGCATGTGATAGCAGGGTCCTACTATCTATGAATGCTGAATTTGATTATTGGTTAAGGTCATGACAGCCTGATCTCTCCATTCAAGGGTAAATTTTTCCTCCTTGTAATAAAGAGTCTGTGGATTGATTCTTTGAGATTTGTTGGAATTGTGTGTTCACAATAACCTTTCACTCCACATCCTTCACTCCACATTTATTGATGATCCTTGCCTGAATTGCAGTATTGAGGGTTGCAAAATGGTAATTTTCTAATTATGCCACTTTCTATATTTATTAGCTGGTATTCTTTGTTATGGAGTAACTTTTCCCTGTGTGTGTTTCTCACTCTCTCTCCTTTTTTTCTTTTTGGAGTAACAGAGACTAATAATTTTATAAGAATTTAGTGTGTTAGAACTCATTATCATCATTAATCTTTTTAGTACCCAAACTGTCCCAAATTTGGCCAGTGAGAGTCCCTTCGGGCCAGCTCCTGTGTTCTTTTGTTTTTTACTGAGATATAACTGACATGTAACATTGTATTAGTTTTAGATGTACAGCATAATGATATATGTATATTTTCGAGAAATGATCACCACAATAAATTTAGTTAACATCTATCAACACATATAGTTACCAATTTTTTTTTCTTTAGATGAGAGCTTTTAGGATCTCCTATATTCTTTTGACATGACCTCATTAATCTTTTTTTGCTTCTTTGCTATCTGGCAAGAGATGTTCCAGGCTCACCTTATACTTTTCCTGTCAAAGTCCTGGAATCATCAATTTCTCCAGGAAGCCCTGGTTTCTTTTTGTAGGAGGTAACATTTAAAAACCAAGATCTGGAGTCAGGTGTACTCACTGTTACTAAGGTATCATTTCTAGGCTCTCTGAGTCAGCACTGCTAAGAAATGATGGAAGGAGGGAAGGAGGGGAGGAGAGGGGAGAGAGAGAGAGTGAGAAATTATCATTGCTTAGTAGATCTATTGTTGTCACAACAAGTGGTCCTCTGTAAAAGGAGCAGATTTCACAGAAAGTAGTGCCATTATGGAAGCTCAGTGGACAGTAATATAGGAAATTGCACAGAAAGAGCCCATGCCTATTCCAGGGCTCCATGAGTGTACGGGCTGTTGGCTAGGAACTCTGTGACTGGGTTGTCTCTTGCTCAAGACCCATATTAGACCACCCGCCACCCTCCACCCCACCCCCCGCAGGCTGCCTCCAAAGGACTGCTTCTCTGAGCAATGTCCAAACCCAGAACCTCCCAGAGGCCATGACTCAGAGGTCAAGAATGCACACAACGCTCTGGCCAGGAAGTCATCCTTTCCGAGTCTGTGAAAGAAAGATAATGTGACCTGTTCTGCCTGCGTCCCAGAGTTGTTGTAAGGATCAATATGTATTTTTTTTTTTTAAACTGCTAACCAGCCTTTTCAACACATGTATGACAAAATCCCTTTTTCATTATTTTAATACTAGTTAGGGATGTCGTTGCTTTATAATCCAATTTAATACATCATACTAACATAACTACTCTTTTTCAACTATTCTTTCGGGTTATCATGCATTAATCTTTCCAAACTAAAATTTTAATCTTTTTTTTAAATCTTTTGAAAAAATACTATTGGGATTTGGATTAGGATAATATAACAACTATAATTTTTAGAAGAACAACTTTAAGATATTTCGTCTCCTTCTCAGAAGCATTATAGGTCTCTATTCAAATCCAATTTATGCTTCTTAATAAAATGTCATAGCCTGTGTTACTTGAGGCAGCATAGCCTTTGGAAACCTTACTTAGAATTCTAGTTCTGCTGCCTCTAGCTGTGTGATCTTAAGCAGCTGTCTTCACTAATCTGTGCTTCAATTTTATAATCCTAAATATTGGGATGATAATCGTACCTACTTCACAGCACCAGGGTGGTATTTTAATGAAATAACCTACAGGAAAATATCTCACATAACTTGGGGAATGTCCTAAGTGCTCAGGAAATGTTGATTCTCTGTGTCCTGGTCTTTATGTAGGTCAGAATCAAATTGAGATGGCAGGTGTGAAGGCAGCTGGTCAGAAGTAAGAGAGGGGCAAGTGACAGACCTCTCCAAGAGCCTTGGCTGCTGAATGCCCAAAGAGGAGTGTTTTTGCTCAAAAGCACAGACTTTGTAGTCAGACCGGCCTAGGCTTGGATCCAGGCTCCGCCACTGCTTTGGGCAAGTTACCTAACTTCTGAGTCTCAGGTTCCCATTTGTAAAGTAGAGATAATACTTCCCTCGTTTGGGACTTAAATGAATCAATATGTATAATGCATCTAATACAAGTGGTACATGATAAGTATTCATCAAGCATGAGCTGTGTTCCTCATGATGCCTCTGGGGACCATGGGCGCCAGGACATAGTTTTAAAGTAGGACTGTCACGAGCAATGTCTTGGCTGCCCTTCCTTATAGGACGTTTCTCAAAGAACTCTATTTTCTGTGTCACAATTAGAGGTTGCATCTGGGTTATTTTCAGTCCCCAGACTGGAATTGCCCTTCACGTGGTACCAGGCTGGGCCTTAAGACCCATATCAGGGAAGAGAGAATTCCAGCCTCAACTCCAAGTTCCCAGGCCCCAGGCCTTTCTTGCCCAGTCACATGGTCTGAGAATCAGCATGGCACAATGTCCTAGTTTGACACAAGTGGTTTTCTCAGGGAGATGGGGCTAATCTTTTTCTTGGTTCTTTCCAAGTCAAGAGGCAGACCTGGAAAGTCTCCTGCCCAAGAAAATTATTCATTCAGACAGTGGTGGGGTTCCTTTCTTTCTTACTTCCTGGTTCAATTTGTGTTTCCATTCATCTTTTCTAACCTGGCTTATAAATACCTGGCTTTTGTGTTTTGCTGCTTTGTCATTAGATATCATAAATCACTGTAGAAATAGAAGGGTTTAGACCTCTCAGTGGACTTGCCCTGTGTCAGCTATGGAGGGGCTCTGGGGCCATCCTGGGATCCTGTCCCCATGTCCTCGGACATTGAGTGGGCAGAGCCCCAGGCTGGCAGTGGACTAGCTGCCAAAAGAGCCTATCCCATTCTGGTCTAGACAGAATAAGAAAGTGTGCATTTCTAACTCACTTTGAGACCCCATGGTGGGAAGGGGAAATGACTAGAGGTGTTGGACTCACACAGACCTGGATTCAGGTCCCAGCTCCTCCACTGACTGAACCTTTCTGAACCTCAGTTTCCTCATCTGTGAAATGGAGGTAATGATAGTATCTCAGGGTGCTTGTGAAAGACATCAAATGAGGGAGTACATGTAAAGCATTTAGACCATAGTATATCATTCTCTGTACTTTCCTATATATTTTTACTGAATATAAATAAAATGCTACCAAGTGTTATGTGAAGCTCTTTACATTGTAAAAACAGGAGGCATGTATTCAGCAAATGGTGGCTGTTGTCTTGCCAAGCAAGCTGCAGAGCAGTGTTCTAAAAGGCTACTTCAGGGATTCTCAGACTGGTTGAAACCTTTTATTGCTATTACAGCTCTTAGTAGCCTGTGCAATGGAAAGAGAATTGGCTCTCTGCTCACTGGCTGTGTGTCCTGAGCAAGTCACCAGTCTTTCTGAGTCTCAGTTTCCTATCTGCCAACAGGGAGAATGAAGCCTACTTTGTAGGATTTCTGTAAGAATTAAAAAGGTCAGTAAGTGTTAAGGCCTTGGATGTAATAAAACTCTCAGTAAATGTTCATTTCTTCCCTCTCAGGGCCTACTTGCTGCTCACCATCACTACAATGACACCAGCACTCACTGTGTGCTAGGCAGTGAATACGCAAAGATATGAGACATGTCATTGCTCTAAAGACCACAAATTAAGCAGTGGTTTTCAAAAACACTTTTTTATCACAACTCAAAGCAAAAAGATACACTTTATATCATAATCCAGTTTATATATATACACACACACAGAGCTGA